GGAAAATACAAGATAGTTACAGTAGGCCTCCTTAAGCCTCTAGAATCCAGTTATGCAAAAATCTAGTCCGGTCTTATGCAAGATTTTGAGGCCATTGCAAATTGTGGCACTTTTTCAATTATATGGATACATAATTACATACTGACCGTGTAGTGTTGATTGCTTTGGTTAGGTTTAAATTGAATCATATCATCTGTATACATTCACCCAACTGGGAGAAAGATCCATATAAGGTAGAAATAAAGATATGGACGCTGCACAAAAGAAAGTTTGGTGGTAGCAAACCTCACCAAGAAACAAGTGCTTAGCTGATCTGTTAAAAGTAGCAATTGCAGCAAAAATGAAAAACAACCAGTGCCATCAGGAACTAGGAACTGGCAAACCAACAAATAGCGGTAGAAGAGAGCAAACCTGCAGCACGAGGTATCATCAGGCTCTGGCCATCAGTTCAGAGCCTTTCACACGGAGTACATTTTTCCTCTGTAATTCTTGCTGTACATACCTTCTCGTCTGGCAATGGCAGATCACCCTAAGGTTGGGAGCACAAATGAAACGTCACACTCAATAGACCTTTGGTTTAAAGTCTTGGAGCACATGATATGTTTCGATTTCGGATGAACATTCACAAGAAGCATGATATATACATATATAAACATTCATCTTCCGTAGTACATAACAACCATTTCTGCAAATTTTCACCATATAAGTTCGTCACATCGTAATAATGTATTACATTGAACATAAACATGATTTTACCCATCCTCCTCCGAAATGGCAGTCAGCTCAGACATGAAATGGTAAGAATCCTCTAGGGGGGTGTGGCCACTATCACAGAAGAACGGCCTTGAAGGCACCTGCAGCACATCACTGCCGCCTTCGAGCATCTCTATGACTTCGCTCATCGCCGGACGATCGTGGGACTTCATCTGGATGCAACATAGGCCAACTAGACACAGCTTCCTCTCCAACTCATGCATCTCAGCAGATATCTCACCCAGTTCATGTTTGGTTAGCCGGTCATACACCCACGATGGGTAGAATGCCTGGCTTGAGTTCGCCGCATTTGGGTCAGCATTCCTGCGTCCTCCAGCCATCTCCAACAGCAGCATCCCGAAGCTGTAGACGTCGGACTTGCTGGATATGACGCCGAAGCTCCGGGATACCATTTCAGGAGCCATGTACCCGATTGTTCCCCGTAAGGCGCTCAACGGCACAAAATTGTTATCCCTTGGGTATAGCTTGGCAAGGCCAAAATCGGCGACTTTTGGGACAAAATTGCTGTCAAGAAGGATGTTGTGCGGCTTGATGTCAAAGTGTAAAATCTGCATGTCACAGCCTTGATGCAAGTAGTTGATCCCCCTGGCAATGCCCAAGGCAATTTCATTGAGCTTGTCCCAGGAAAAACTCTTTTCGACCGAGAAGATGTACTTGTCCAGAGAACCACGGGGCATATACTCGTAGACTAGTGCCCTCCTCATTTCCTCGGAGCAGAAACCCACCAGACGCACCACATTGACGTGGTGGATCCTACCGATGGTGGAGACCTCGCTGATGAAATCTTCTCCGTCGCAGCTGGATTTACCGTCAAGCATCTTGATGGCCACAGGGACATCGCCTGGGAGTAGAACGCCCTTATACACGGAGCCGTAGCCCCCCTGACCCAGCTTGTCTCTGAAATGGCTTGTGACTGCAACAATATCTGTGTAGGCATACCTTGTCGGGCCGATCATTTGCTGCATCCGTAGGAACTTCTCGACCGCATCGATTGTGATCCTTGTTTTCCAGTATTTGTGGGCTAGGAAGACCAGTACCACCAGAGGAGCAAACACAAACCTGCGTAGAGCTGCACATATAGAACAAGTTTATATGGGGTCACCAAGAAACTACTAGTGTAGCTAGTATATGCAATTCTATCAATGTACCAGCAATCAACTTCAATATCAACATGGAGTATACTGTTGAGGACTGTAGTTTGCGAAGGTGTTCATTGGAAGGAAAAGTGTCTGCTCCAAATGCGCAATGTAAGATCTCAGAATCAACCGTAAAAATGGTCCATATCCAATCCCAGTTGCCAAGAGTACTAGCCATTGGTTTTCCTGGAACTGGGCTGCAGACAAGGGAGAAAATGTAGAAAGTCACACAGTGTACATATATAGATATATCCAAAACAGACGGTGTATAGATCCCAAACTCACACAATCTTATCCTTTAGGCAATCCTTGAAGCCCCCATACCTCCTTTTATATTTCAAAGGAAACCAAACAGGAAATCCTCTCCTCAGGGTTTCCACCAAAACACCATGGCTTGCATTACTATATTGCACGCTCTGATCACCCAAAGCAGCCACAGCCAAGTACCCGCAGTAAGGATTAAGATCTCCAACATAAAGAGAGTCAATCAACACATAGACAAAAGAAGACCTCGTTCTCAGGCAAGCTACCGGTATGTAGTCACTATTGTCCGTGACCGCCCGCGAACAATTCACAAAGTTAGCCCATGTAACAGAACGAGGGTACAATTCGACGAAGCCGTCGGACCCAGGGATGCCATATATATAAGGGCGCTGATCCCAGCGAGGAAGAGGGCAGCTGCCGCTCATGTCCAGGTTGGCGTCCACGACCCAGAAGTAAGAATGCTTGTAGTTGATATCCGTGACAAAGTACGTCCCTGTGTTGATCCGAATTGTAGCCTTGCTATCGGAGCAATCCAGCTCGTACGATGGCAAACCGCACAGACGCAGATCTCCTCGCAGGCGGAAAGGGTACTGGATGTCTTGGAGATGGCCGCAAGAGAAAGGATCACAGGCGTACCTGTCAGTAGTATCATATCGCCCCTGAACATCAACGGCAAGAATTGCAGCCATGAAATGCACCAGGAACCACCATGGAGGCATCAACGATAGTCAACTGTTTAGCTCTTCTTCTGGCTTCATTGTAGGCTTTCTCTTCTTGTGCTGGGCAACCCTCTCTCCATTAATACAAGATCCAGGAGCAGAAAATATGCACCCATAGTGTAGTGGCATGTCACTGTAAGGAGAGATGGGCGAAAACAAACACAAAGGGGTGCTGGAAATTATTTTAAAAGAGCCTGTAGAAAGACCTGGTATGATATGGTTAATGTCCACATCGCTGCTGCCATATGTTATCACAGAGAAGATGTGCAATATATGTACGATCCTTGTTGACTCCTTCTGTATCATCAGGCAGGGATGCCGGCATAAGCTGCTGCGATATGGCAAGGGATTAAGTAATACATGTCAGTGTCAGGTCTGTGCCCCACTCCTATTTGTTTTTTACAAACTTTATGCGAAGTTTGGTTTCTACTAATAAGAATGGGGGCGAAGTTACAATTCCTATTCTAAATATTTAGGGTGATACTAAAAATAAGAGGAAAGCAATGGGAAGGGATTACCGTGGCCGTGGCTATCTGCGACGGACCATCAGATTTGAGCATCATCATTCTCGGGCCGCCCGAAGTATCATTCAGAATACACAGGGCTACACAAGGGTACCAAAGCATCATGGTGCTGACTGCAGCTAGAGGAAAAATGGGTCACTTATTACATGGCAAACAGAACTATATGTGTTCTAAATAACGCTAGTCAATCAATTGGCAAGAATTTCGCCAGTGAAACGAGGAATGAAAATGTAGCTGCTAGCATACGAAAATGTTGGCTTTTGTAAGTATGCAGATATGCTGAGATGTCATCATGTCAGATATGAAAATAATTCTGAATCTGATACCAGTTCAGTTCAGTTCAGACTTCAGAGGCAAGATCTAGTCAGCAGAGGAAAGCTCACTGCAGCAAGAAGCAAACAAGCCGGTCTGGGCGATTTGCAACGGCTTAAATAGTTTACAGAAGAAGAAAAAAGTGTGGATGTATATACCTAAGCAAGTCCGGCGGGAGGGTAGCCCGGGCTGCGCCTGGAGCAGCGATGGTTATCACGGTGGTGACCGGCAGCGGCGCCGCTGCCACCGGCGCTAACCACCAAGGAAGCAAGGAGAGAAGAAAGGGAAAGAATCGAAGAGACCACCACACCTACACGAACATCTCGCCGGACCCGCCGTCCAGGCGCCGCCGCCGCCGCCGCCGAGGGGAGCATGGATCATGATGTCAGCGAAAGCCACATCGACTTGAACAGGCCCAACTAGACGGCCCATTTAGACTCGCAAAGCTAGAAGAGACTCTTGGGCTGAAAAGCAGCGTCTGCCGTCTTGTGGCCCACGCAGGCGAGTCTTCCCTTCCCTCTCTCCTTGCTGCAGATAATTTCGGATAACATTTTACGGCTCCCCTTCTTCCCCAGCTCCGCCCCTCCAAATCGCAGCCGAAACCTCGGAGAAGCTCGCCTCCCGCATCCATGGCTTCAGCCGCGACCTTTCCGAAGCTCCGGCTCGGTCCACGATGCCACGGCTTCTCCCAGCTTCAGGTTCCGTTAATCCTTCAACCGTACGTACCCTCACGCAAGCAGCGTAGGAGTTTCACGAGCGATTGCCATTGATTTAACCCTGTAGGCGGCTGACCCGGTTCATATCCACATGAAGATTGGTGATGCCTGCAAGTGCCCCATGCCTGCCCAACGGTAAAACCTGAATTTTCCATGGACCATGGCTGTATGTGTTTCTGCTTGCTGCTTCAGTGTTCAGTTTGCCATAGGATAACTGGTGGCGGTCAATGTACCAGGTTGCTTGTTTCTACCGGGAGAAATGCGAGGCACACATTCCTGCCGGTTTCGGCGGCTCGATCAGGTGAGCTGCAACTTCTGCAACAAATGCCCACAACAGTACATGTATTTATCACCGCCAGTGATGTTCCAAATGGTACGCAAAACCTTCAGAATCAGATAGAGTCGTTGAGGTTTTCAGAGAACTGCAGGTCGGGGCGCATCGGTCGCCGAGGCCGAGAAGACTGGGCTCTCGCTGGATAGCTTCAAGACAACCGTTGTCAAACGCGACGACGAAAAGATCCATGTGAGATTGTTTGTGCACTCTGCCAAGCCATGTTAAATTAAAGCTGTCAACTCAGAAAAAAAAAAGCTGTCCACATCTACTAGTCACATACATTGATGCATACATTTGTATTCAACTAATGGGACATGTACCTAGAGATGTTTTGAGTGGTCTTGACTCATCTGATGCTGGGAACTTGTTGCCTGCAGCTAAGAATCGAGCTGCCCGGGAAGGAAACGCAGAAGGTGTTTGATGCAGCCTTGACAAGCCTGGCCAAGGATGCGCCGCCGGTTCCAGGTTTCAGAAGGTCCAAGGGTGGTATATCAATTAATCCCCATTTCCTTGCAAGAAACATTTTACATATTTGCTTGCTCCAAGTCACTGAAGCTTCTAACAATTTTATTGCCGTTTTTCTTCATGGATATCTGTTGGATGGTTGAAGGGAAAACATCGAATGTAAGTGCCTATGAACCTTTCACGCCTCATTTGCAAACTCCCCTGATTCTCGTCTGAAATTCCGCCGTTCTGAATGGGGTTTAGTTTCTGGGGTTGCCAGTTTTAATTGCATTGTAAGTCAAGGCTACCTTTTCTTTCACGCATACTTTTCAAGATGGTTGTTAACCAACTCCTCCTCGGAATGGTGAAGTCTTTTAAAACACTGTCCTTGTTCAGAAATAAAACCACCTAAGGACAGGAGTAGTTTGTTTCCATCGAGCATCGCCGAGTACGCTCAACTGTTACCGGCTAAATTTTCAACCGAAAGTGTGGGCTACTAAATACTAACTGCAATCAAGAAATGACACGGCTAGACATAGACATAAACTACACTATCAAGTCTGCACTGCTGTCCTAACCCCCCACATTAAGAACCGAGAACTGACGACAGCTTCTGAATCCCTGTACTGTGTCCAGATACCAAGCAGCATTCTCCTGTCGATGCTCGGCAAGAGCCGGGTCACCAAGTTCATCCTTCAGGAAATACTCAGCGTAACCGTCGGCGATTTCGTCAAGAAGGTTGGTGCCACTTCATAAAAAATTAGAACAGACTAGCCAACCTTTGACTTTTGGATTCAGAAGTAACTGACGCTGGCTTTGCAACCGACCCAGGAAAACATCAAGGTGAACCCTGAAATCGCGACGACACAATCGGAAGGCGACCTGGAGTCGTCGTTCGCGCCGGGCTCGTCGTTCGGGTTCAATGTGATCCTTGAGCTGGAGAAGGAGCCTGACACCGATGATGCTATTGACGTGGAGCTGTCCGACTCCAAGGACGCTCCGGACGTGTTGCAGTCCGACTCTGAAGAGCCTTCCGAAGAGCAGCCCGCCTCCTCCACCTGATACTTCAGAGAGGAAATGCCTCCGTGTATTTATTCCCTGATGAATATGCTCCAGATTCAGCATAGCATTAGCAGGCAAACAATTGTTCAGATAAAACACCAGAGATGATCTGCAGGTTGCGGGTGACACATCACTGAAGATATGTGTGTAGCAGCACTGAGCATGCAGACACGTTAGATTTGGGGAGACATGGGCCCATGATGACAGCGCCGCAGCTCCAGGCTCCAGCGCAGCAATGATGAAAAATCCTATCCAGTTTGTCTGGAGCATGATCCACTGACACCTTGGCTTCGGCTTCGAACTACCCGATCAATCATTTGGGGGTGCTCCACTCCACTCCTCAAGCCTCACACGCCACACCCCCACATCCATCACCAGTGACCTAGTACCAACTCACACGCATGATCCATGCGAGTAATACAGTATAATAACGAAATACATTGCTTTTCCAACCCTATCTTGTTTTTCCAACTCTGATCCCGAGGCCTGGAAGAATCCCCGTGACATGACAGCATTCCCGGCTCCTTGACGCGACCGTTGGGCGATGCTGGGATTTGTGCTCCGTGTTACAAGAAAATTCAACGGATTAGGTTAGTAGGTGCATCTGTGCATGATAATAGATATCGGTAGCATCATTATACCAGAAAACAGGTCATTTCGTCCGAGCGACTTTGATTAAACCCAGGACCTGGAATGATTTTGGGCAGCCACCTTATTCCCCTATCACGCTCACAATTTCAATAGTACTACCGAATTCCCAGCAGAATCAAAAATGTTTGTTAGGTGACCGCATAGGCGTTCACAAGAAAAACCCAACATACATGTTATTCCCTTTCCATTCTAGCCCAGACACCGCTCGCTGCCACACCAACCACCGGTTGGCAATCATAGTTCATAGGGCAATGAAATCTTGGAACATTGTGGATTCAGAGAAAACTTTTCTCGTTCATCGGCAATGGCGGTAGAATTTCTAACACGGATTGGATTCTCACCCCCCTAAAATATGCTTGCTCATGTCCTCATTTCTTCGAACACGGGGAAGATATCGGATTAGGAGTAATTGGTTGGCGATTGGCAGGGGAATTGGCCGGGAGACGGGGTAGGTGCCCAACTTATTGTCAAACAATCAGCATCGATAGGTTCAGATTAACGAATGAATATACGACTGGGCATCGGCTGGGCTGGTGATGGTGAACCAGAAAATATCTGGAAATAATAATGCGGCACTCACGCTGGACTAATCACTAATATTGATGATAATAATGTTGCTCTAGTAATCTACTCCTAGTTGTAGAGGGTGGCCCGTCGCGCTCCACGGACGTACCGCAATCTCTCGTTGAAATGAAATCCAACGCGCTGGTGTGGTGCGGTGTGGTGTGGTGTGGTGGTTTAACCACCAAAGTACGCGCACCAGTTCTTGACTTGCAAAATCAATGCTCCCTTCCGGAGGTAGGAAAAGGCACCGCTAGATGTAAAGAATGGACTGTGGTCGTCGTTTCGCTGTCAAAAGCCAAATGTAGTAGCCACTTTTAGAGAACCATGTCTACAGAAAATGCTTCTCGCAACAATATTGTTTGTACATGATAAATTCCCCTTTCAGCGTTCTTG